CCTCATACAGTATGCTCTTTTATCTGATTTTTTTCTCTCTTCCTTATCTTCTGTGTTGCAGATGTTGAAGATGGACACACTTTACACCTGGTTGCGAGACCTCCAGCGGTCACTGAAGGTAAGCGTCCTTGCTGGTGGTACTCTAGTACTGATTGCTGGTGGTACTTTGGGACTGAATTTCCAGAAGCTACTGCGACACAAGCGCCATCAGACTCGACATCTCGCCATCGCCCCTCTCATGTTACTCATAGCTTGCTACTCGGGACCATCAACATTCCAGAGGTACCGGAAGGAGGCATACCCGACTTAAGCAGGGTGCGAATCCTTGATCTCTTGTTGTCCTTGGACTTACCTTGTTTTTTACAGATTCTCTCGGCTGTTCTTAATTCTGTCGGTTCCGGCGCTACAGCATTGGACAATCGACGAGGTGTTGCCGTGGTAAGCTGGAATCTTTCTGTGTTTCTTCTCTTTTCTTACTTATACATGCGATTCATAGATGCAAGTGGCTTCATCAGGTCTTTCCACCTCAAATGCTCCTGCCACCGCTACCTCCACCCCTGCTGCTGCTACTGGTCCTTCCACCGAAGGCAGACGCTCCACAGCGCAAGCATCGGCCGAAAATATTCATTTTAGGAACATAGAGGTAACTTGGTTGGTGGTGTATGTTTGAATTAACTCTCGAGTTTACAGGTTGTTCCAGATGCGCTAACAACCATATCGCAATACTTGACGAGAATGGAACAAGCTTTTGCTGAATATGGTATGCTATATCTCTTTCAGATCAGGTGCTTGAATGTCATCGTTTGTATATGCAGGCTACGACGCTTTAGATAACCCCCTTTTGTCCTCGAGCTCCAGGCCTAGGTATAATAGCGCTAGTTCGTCTGCAGCGACCGGTTTACCTTCTCGACCCCTTCCAACTCCAGCATCCCTGGGTGCTACTATTTCTCGTGCTCAGGAACTTTTGCATGGTCAAGCCAGCTCAGCTCTTGCGGTAAAAATCGATCAATCTCTGATGATGCTTTTCTAACATTCTCAAAATTCAGCATCTTGCTTCCCAACTAGAAACGGAGGCGACACTATCCGATACAGCGGCTCGTGTAGATCTGCAATCCACTGCTGTTTGGAGTGGAAACATAATGCAACAACTCGGTGCGCTACTAATGGAACTTGGTCGGACAACTTTATTGTTGCAGCTTGGGCCATCTCCAGTAAGTCTTTCGTGCTTATCTTCCTTGTCTGATGTCTCGTAAACAGGCTCAAGCTGTTGTAAACTCTGGTCCAGCAGTGTTCGTTTCACCGTCTGGTCCAAATCCAATGATGGTGCAAGTAAGGATTCTCTTTTTTTTACATTTTTTAAGCTTAACTTGATTGATACTCCTTTCCAGCCTCTTCCGTTCCAAACAGGCTTGCCTTTGGGAGCATTTCCGTTGGGAACAGCGGCCGAAGCTGGAAGTGCCAGGACCGTCGGCATGAACCTAAACGCGGGTGATTCTACTCGTCGACCCTTCACACACATTCCTTTATTTGGCGGCTCCCTACGTCATCTCCAGCATACTGCATCCGACTTACTGGCATCCGCCTTGGAGCCTAGTGCGGTGGACGAGAACGGCGGCCAAACGGGCGAAGGCTCCGAAGCCAGGCAGTCACCAGATCCCGCTCGCTCTCCCAGTGATCTGGAGAATCCCGATCAGAGCGTAGCACTGCTAGTCCAAGACAACGGCTCCGTGAGGCTGGTACCAATGAGGACGCGAACGGCCACTAGCGTCAATCTTCACTCGTCATCCTTGTTCCGGGGCCTGCGGTCGTCGTCAGAAGCTGTTACTGTCCCGGTGCTTGGCATCCGGGCACAAGTTCATGCTCATCCATGGACGCAAGCAGTGCTGCAGGCGTCGGAAGGACAGCGGCCAGTTGGTATCGCAGTGACGATCCCAGTTGACGTGACGAGCTCTCGAGGGAATGCGCAAAACGGCTCTGCAGGTAAAAGAACTATTTTTCTGGTGGTTTTAATCTCTGCTCTTCCAGATACCGGGATGGACTTCGCTGTAAACGCAAGCGCAACGCCTATGGATCTCCCCGCCGCAGAACAAGGCCGCCAAGACGAGGTTTGTCCTGTGTTTGAAGTTTTTATCCTAGTTTGGTGTTACAAGTTCGTAGGCCCATGAGGGATCCCAGGGAAACCAAATGGAAGCGAGCACCACCGTGAAGCCGCAGGCCTCGGAGGGCGCAGAGGGAGAGAGAACAGCGTCACGCAAACGAGCCGGAGGAGCCGAGGGTGGCGGCGCCGCTGAGAGTTGCATGTCTACGACCCCAGAGTCCGAGGTACTACGAATCCCATTTCTCTATTCGCGCTCCACCTTTGTGTTTCATTGTTTCCTTTGTTTGGTGCCAGGGGCCGCAAGAAGAGAGCGAAGCCAAGCGTCGAAAGGTATGAAAGAGAGGTTTTTTTCTTCCATTTATCACTGTGACTTTGGATCAGACCGACAGCAATGGAGACTAGTAAGAGATCGCGGAGTTTACAAATAACGTCGCCACTATATTTATGATCAATGATTATTTGAGAGAGCAGCATAGCTAGTTATGTACTATGCTAGTATCGTATCTATCGCCCTTGTGTAAATTCGGCTATAATCAACATGAATTCTTTTTAACCTTCGCTCACCTCCTCGTCTTGAGCGCTTGGAAGCGAGCCGTGAGATCATCGTAGTCCGGGAGCTTGGGGTGTACGGAGTGGCCGCCGGACGAGCCGCCCGAGTCCGTACGCGACGCCGGCGGCTTTGGAAGCTCGGGTGGAGCTCGCTGCGGTGGGATGCTCTTCTGCCACTTGAGATCACCACTGCCGCTGCTCGTTTTCGAGAGAGGAATGGATGCTCCATCGTCTCCATCGCCATTAAACTCGGGCTCGTCGAACTGAGGCATGGAAGGCGTCGGCGAGAAGTCGAACGAAGGTGGCGGGGGATTGTCTCTTCGCCGGTGGAAGGACGAGGAGGGCGGAGGAGCGCCGTCGTCAATGCCGGTGAAGAACGTCTGGCCTTCGTCGCTAAACAAGTTGCCGTGGATGTTGTTTTGCTGCTTGTAAGGAGCCGACGATGAGAAGCCACCCGAGTTTCTCCGCTCCTCAGCACCGAGATCGAAGAGGTCATACTTTGCTGGCTGCTGCGCTGCTCTTGGGGGCGACACGCTCGTTCTCCTGTCCATCCTCCTCCCGTCTTCGTCTCTCTCGTCGTCACTGTCGAAGAATGGCTTCTTCGGAGTGAACTTGGACGTTGCATGGTTGTCGTCGCTGTCGGAGCTCTCGTCCTCGTCTTCGTCCTGTTTAGTCCTGTCCCATCTGTTTGCGAAACTGGCCGGCGGAGCGGGCATCTCAACATCGCTGCCGTCGGCATCAACCTCCTGAGATGGCCTAGCTCGAGAGAACGACGTTCCCTTGGCCAGGTTCGCGGCAGCTCGGGCGGCAGTGGCAGCACGCTCGGCGGAATCCGCAGCGGCTTGAGCAGCAGCAACGACGTCTTTGTACTCCATCGGTGGTTCTTTCTCCTCGTGGAATGAAGGAACAGACTGCGGCGGCGGCGGCGGCGGCGGCGGCGGTGGCGGCGTTTCAAAGTTGTGGACTGGCGGGGGAGAAATAAACGGGACGAATTGCCTTTCGTTGTCTCGTTGAGGTGCTGCTGGTTCTGGTGGCGGAGACACCGGACGGATACTTGGCTGCCGTTCTTCGTACTTACTTGACTTAATCTCTTCCGGTTCTAGATCCTGCATCTGGAGAACGTTTCCAGGCCGAGATTCGAATTGCGATCGCATGCTCTGGGACGGGACAGAAGGCATATCGTTGTCAGAAGCGTGTTGGCTAGAAACTCGAGACGACGCTGCGAGTGGTCTCTGGCTAGACGATATGAACTGACTTGGTCCATCCTGAAAAGAACTTCTTTAACATGAGAAAAGAAGAAAGATCGAAAGGAACCTACGAGAAGGTCTTCATGTTGCTTCGTGAGCTCAGCTTCTGTTTCACTTGCATTCCACTCTATATTGTGCTCGGCAGCAATCTCCTTCAAGAGCTTCAATTTAACTTCTCCAGATGGTGCACGGACCGAAAGCTTTTCTATGATCTGCAAAGACAACACAGCTTCCATCAAAAAACCGTCTAGTACATCCAATCAATGAAAAGGAAAGGGTACCCTTCTATTCACGCCACAGTCGGGCCTAAGCTCTCCAGCGGATGCCACAAATTCCTTGCCGTACTTAACCGCAAAGAGCCCACGTACTTCGAGCAATTCCGGCAAATCGGAACACCTTGGAGCAGCAAAAATCAAGCTAGCAATTGCCTCTTTAAGATCGAGAGGACACTGTCTGCAAGAAAATATAAAACAGGTTGGCATTAGTTTGCTCGGTAAGAAAAGAAAAACACAAAAAAAAAAAAAACGGAGAGAGACTTACTTTTGGGACTCGATGATCGGCAGCCTCACAACAACGAGCTCGCAAAACAATTCCACAATCTCGTACGCAGCCATGATGTTTTGCTCCCTGAAAATGTGCTCAACCTATTTGATGAAGAACAACAAAACGAGAGGATACTTTTGAGTTCCATTTTACAAGCATACCCGAATCCGGGCGCTCGGCTCCTGTCCAGTTTGCAGCAAATTCGCAATCTCCCTGCGCATGCCCCTCACCTGGAGCTCCCTCCTGTTGCGCAGCAGCTTGATCCGGGACATCGCCAGCCGGAGAAGCGTCTTGCTGCATCCATTCCAATCAAACGACAGGCATCAAATCACAGATCCGATCCAGGCCGGGCGCTGCGACGACGATCCACTCACCACTTCGCCGCCTTGAACCCTCTCCCGAGGAAATCCATGCCGACAAAGCGCGTTAGCTCGAGCAGAAGAACATAAACCCTAAAATAAGGCACTAAACAAACTATGCGGAAGATATTCCGTCGCCGTCAAACATCCCTACAGATATTCCGCCGCCGTCAAGTAGAAACCAACTTGGATGACCTAAAAGAATAATTAAAGAGGCCAAATCGAATATCCCACCAAACAAAACAAACCCGACTTTATTGCGTGGGGGCTCTCACGCGTAGGCGCAGGAGTTTGCGAGAACTCGGAGGAACTTGACTTGGCTGGTATGGACCTTGAAGCGGCAGAAGAAGGAAGTGCGGTACTTTGGGCGCACCAGCGGGAAGACGTGGGCTCGCGACTGGATTGTTCCAGTCACCGCCAGCGGCACGTCGCCACCGCCGCTCGTGTAGCCCTCTAGATCCGGCCCCGCGCCGTAGAGCGGCACCTTGATCGCCTCCACATTCACGGGGAAAGTTTTCATGCTGTCCTTGTGCTGGTAGAACTTTGGGATCTGGTCCACATCAAAGCCCAGATCAAGATCAAAGCGAAAACTAGAAATTCACAGTAGCAAAGTCTCATCTAGAGCCTCACAGTGAGCAAAGTCTCTTTTTAAGTTCTAGAGCTTCTACAGTTCTAAGTTCCAGAGCAAAGTCTCTACTAACTCAATCAAACTCGGTGACGTTCTAGAGCAAACTTGAGGGAGAAACGAGAGAAACTTACCTGGCCTGTAGCGATCGTGAGCTCGTTGAAAACCAGATTGATGTCGGCAGCGTGGACGTGGAGGCCAAAGTACTGCGATGGGTTGCGGAAATTCACCATGAGCGTGCAATTGGACGTAAGCACTCGCGTCGGGACGCCCGAGTCCGTCCCGGCCACGACGGTAAACTCGTGGAAGATGATTTTCTAGAGCCAGGAAAGAAACAAAGCCGCGCATTAATTCCCTTGTTGCAAGCAAAGTAAAAACCATACCTTGACGACGAGCTTGGGCGAGTGAGGCTGGCAGACGAGCCAGAAGATGAGCGCTCCAAAGCTGAGGAGAAGAACACAGCAGAGAACGCTGATCCAGAACAGGCAGCACCGCGAGAGGGGCTTCCTCTTGCCCGATTCTCCGTGCGATTGCTGCTCCTCCTCCTCCATGATGGTCCCCGGGATCCATTGCTTGTACCCCTTCTTGTGCGGCCTGTGATGGGGAGGGAGCGAGCCGCCGTGGGGAAGAACTCTCCGTGATCCTGGCTTGGGCGCAGGGGGCACAGAGCTGGCCTCGCTCTGCAAGCTTCCCGAGTGCTTGATGAAGGACTGGTGATGGAGAGGCGACGCCATGGGGCTCATCACGGGCGTCGAGTGGAACGATGGCTTCTCGTTGCCATCGTGGGAGTCACGGGACGGGCTCTGGACGAAGTAGACTGGATGGCGCGGCGGCGACTGCGGTGGAGAGAGCCCGGCGCTCGTCCCTTCCGAGTCGAACGAGGAGCGCATCTTGCCGTAATATCGAGCCATCGCGCCGCGACGACGAAATCTCTGCTGCTAGAGCCAATGCAGGCCTCCCTGGACTGCCGATGCCCGATATTTCGCGAAAACCTTGCTCGATCCACGCAAGAACACCCTAGCTCTCGAAATATCGACCGCGAGAGCTCGAAATCTGGTAAGTGCTGCGGCGAATCCACCAGGAGCACCGCCACGGAGAGCCTGCCATGCACCAATGCTCGATATCGCTGCACAAACCGGATGAAACACCGAGAAGAAAGAAGAATCACTGAGAATGGAGCTAGAGAGCTAGCGGCAAGCGAGCGGCCGATGGAGCGCCTTCCATCCCGCTACGCAAACGCCAACCGCGCCGAAGACTCCACGAAGCGCAGCGCCGTCGCGAGAATCGCCGTGTTGCGGATCAGGGGAGCGATGAACTGTCTCCCAGCAAGGAATGCGCAAGGCTGTGGCAGAGCCGTCGATCTGGGCATCGACGGTCGGGAGGGCTTCCTGTATTTTAGCCGTTGGATTGCCACGTTGCCGCGAGATCTGGTCGTCCATTTACTGTACGCGAGAAAGACCATATGGTACATGAAAGAGGCGCATGATAGATATGAGAAGAAGGAATTTGATTAAAATTCCAAAGCGCCATGTGCACGAGACATGTGCTATGAAGCTTCCGCCAGCTTTGACAGGGTGATCCTTTAAAAATACCTAAAAGGTGGCGAGATAAACAAAATGGCTTTAATTTTTTAGGGCTCTTCGTGAGAGATTTAGGGTTCTTGAGATTCTTTGCGATGCGAGCGCTAAGTCAATGGCTGATCCTTGTTGGGATCTTGCGGCTCTCTGCAGTCTGGTTTGGATTCTTCGACATTTGGGCCCTGCGCAAGGCAGTCTTCTCGAAATCCTCAAGTAAGATGATCGATTCGCGACCGATTCGATCCATTCGATCCATTCTTTCTCGCTTGCAGTGACTGAAATCCACGGGCGGACGTTTGGCGTGTGGACGCTGCTAACGTGCACGCTTTGCTTCGCTTGCGCGTTTAATCTGGAGAATCGCGAGCTCTACTGGGTCACATTCGCGTCGTTCGTTTACGCTCTTGGCCACTTTGTGACCGAGTTCTTGATCTACAAGACGATGGCTCTCTCAAACCTCGCCACAGTCTCGATCTTCGCTGGTACTGCTAACATCACTTAGCTCGATTTCTTGAATTCACTCCTTTCTTTCCAGGTGGTTCTATAATCTGGATGCTTCTCTTTCGTCGCAATTCAAATGTCTCTTCTAACAAGATCCGAGCTGCTGGAAAAACAAACTAGAAAGCTGAGTTTGCGATCGAGCCTCGATCCAATTGTCGATGGTGAGAGCCCAAAAAAAATTCACCGTTTTCTCGGTCGAATCGTTGATCCTAGAATCGCCTACGCGGCCTGCGATAAGATCTGGAGCCCGCCTTGGTCGTTAAACTCTCTCCGGAGTTTCTCCACGGCCATGAACGTCAGTGCCGAGGCCGGACACCACCACATCACTCTCGGCCCAGCTCCTTTGAACAGTCCCCTGATTCCTTCTTGTTCCTTTATCTTGGTGATCGCATCGAGCCAGCCAGTGTACCTGGATTCGATGAGTCGCAAGTAAGCAAGCAATCGAAGATCTGGCAAAGCAAACTTTAGTAACACACCTTGCCGATGTACTTTGGACTTGCATCCGAGTCTTGACAACGTCGAAAGGAGTCGTCAGGAACGCACTGAATCCTAGCAGAACAAAGAGTTAAAGCGGGGCATTTGCACTGAGCTCTCACCTCCGGCCGCTCCGCCGAGCAAAAAGTCCTGCGAGCACGAAAGATCACCGTTGGCAACTTTCAAGGCTGTCTTCCTGAATGCTTCATAGAGAACGATCTGCAAATGCGCCAAACAAGTGTCAGCAGGACAAAAAACAAAAGAACGGACGACCAAAGTTAAAGTGTATACTACCTGCAAGCCTGCAAAAGGAATGTCACGCACAATGGTGGAGAGAAGGCTGCAAAGAAGAAAAGAAAACCATTCGTTAGCTCACTTCCAGATCAGAGAAACTCACCCAGCGTAAAGGCCGCGAGTTCCTTCCTGCGCGTGGATCGCTCTCGCCGCATGAAACATCCCCGAGTAGTACTGGAAGACTGGAGCTTTTATCTGCTGCTGCTTCGCAGTCTCCCACGCCTTTCGAGAGCCTTGGACCTGCATTCGCTGCTTGATAACTTCGCACGGGACGTAGACCACCGCGCCAAGAGCATCTCCTGGAAGAAGCAAATCGAAAGAGAACAGAGATCCATTAGCGAGAATTCGTCGTTTAGAGAAAGAAAAGGAACTCCAAAGTACCAGCTGCGCCAGCGAAGAACAGTGCCCATGGTGTTGGTAAGTTTGGCCTCTTCTCTTGTAGCAAGTCCTTCGTGGTCTCGATGAAACCGAAATATGTGGCGCCCGTTACGAACGATCCAGTGACACCCGGAAAGACTCCCCGATAGAATCCTGTCAATCGCGTCAATGCCGGTAGAAGAAACGATCGAAATATCGCACCTCGGATGCCGTCCCTAGCGCCGATGGTCTTGGAAACCTGGACAAGATTCGCATTCTGCGAAAGCGAAGCTCTGCTCGATCGACCGACGCAAGAAAAGGGAGCGAAATCTCTCTACCTGGCCGAAGCCGCTCTGGAGCCGCGTCTTGATCGTGTCCACGGGATGCATGATCGTCTCGCCGAAGCCGCACGCCAGGCCTCCCCATAGAAACTCCCTCCAAGCTGCCAAACAGAGAGATCGAGATAGAAACCGAGAATGTGGCGCTCGATCCAGGAGAGATACCAGCGAGAGAGGCAGCACTGCGCGATCCCCCTCCCGAGTCGGCGATCATCTTAGCAAAATATCGCTCCTCCTCACGACCATAAACCCTAAGCCCCAAGCGAGGAGAGAGAAGTATATTCCCGGCACCAGTATTAGGGTTTGTACATTTGGATTAGGGCTTTGGGGGTACAGCAGCTATGGCGGAGAGCGGGCGCCCAGCTCATGGCGACTACGAGCGGCGATCTTCGTCCCCACGGATGGCCTCCAGTAAGCGGAAATACGAGGAGCCAGTGGAGGCGCCACCGCGGCAGCCGCCACAGCAGCAGCGTCCTCCTCCGCCGCCGCCGCCTTCTTCCGACAGCCAGCGCCCGTCTTACAAGAGCGTCCCTCCTCCTCTCTCGGGCTTCGAGGCGGCGAAGCAGCGCGCCGAGCAGATTGCCGCGCGCCTGGTTGGGGAAGTGGAGTACAAGAGAGCCCGGACGAGCGCGGATGACAACGATGGCGTGGCCAGCAATGTGGAGCGCGCCGGGGGACATTATGGGCATCAAGGTACTCGCTACTGTTGGTTGATTGCTGCTAGAAAGGACGATCCTCAATCTTCTTCCCCTTTTTAATTTTCATTTAGATGATCGGCCTCCTTCAGATTCGTACGTCCAGCACCAGACCAAGAGAGTGGACGTTCCTAATACCAAGGTTTGTATCGAGAAGTTCCTTTGTTGTTGTTGTTTTTCTTTTTCTTTCTTTTTTTTTTTGATCTTATGGTGATATGGAGTTTTTTTGGTTTTGCAGGTTGGGCTCGTGATTGGCAAGGGAGGTGAGACTATCAGGACCTTGCAACAGCAATCCGGTGCTAAGATTCAAGTGACCAGAGATGCCGAGGCTGATCCGGGCGCAGTAACAAGGCAGGTTGAGCTCACTGGTACCCCTGAACAGATTTCTCGGGCCGAGCAACTTATCAGAGAAGTCGTGGGAGATGTACGCGAAAGTCTTTCTTTTTTGTTTTCTTCTCTGGCCTTTTGGTCTTTCTCTTTTGCAAGGGAGCTGACGGTAACGCTTGTTTTGCAGCAGGGTATCGTGGGAGGACCTGTGGGAGGTGGAGGCACTGGCGGTGTTGGAGATCCAATACACGTCCGGGTTCCAAATAACAAGGTCCTTTATGCAGTCTTTGCTGGAGCTATTTTAATCTAGATTTCGTCACAGGTCGGTCTGATCATCGGGAAAGGTGGTGAGACCATTAGAAATCTCCAACAAACATCCGGGGCACGAATTCAGGTATCAAATCTATAGTTGAGGGGCTGTTTGTTAGCCAACGGGCTGGAGATTTTCCTAACGTTTTTCTTCTCCTGTTAGGTGCAACATGATAGAGAAACGGAGCCAGGTGCCACGGAGAGGATCGTGACGTTAGTAGGGACCAAGCAACAGACCGACATTGCAACTGACATGATCAAAGATGTCATTGGAGAGGTATTTCTTATCAGTATTTCAGGTTTGGTGATAGCATTCTTGGAAGTCGTGTCGTCCTCCTGCCTTGTAACCATTTCATTTTGCTTGCTTGGTAAGACAACCTTGCGAAAATTTGCCGTCCCCTTTATGTTCTCTCTGTGCGGCTCTAACCTTCAACAGTAAGCATTAGGAGGCAAAAGTTCGTCTCATCAGCAGTGTGAAAAAAAAACCATGATACTCTTTTCCCAATGGTATGTTTCTTGAGGTCTCTAGAGTAGTCACATTATCTATGCTTTTCGAAAACCCTTCTTTGTTCTTATACTTTCTTCCTTGCATTCTATATGCCTGTGCTTGTGTCTGTTTATGCTAAGTATACACTGACCTTGCAGGGACGCTCGAGGGCCGGAGGCTACCAGCAAGGCTTTCGACCGGCCTGGGGTGGCCAGTCCCAGTCCCAGTCCGGCTATGGCTACCAGCAGCAGCAAGGCTACGGCTCACAGCAGTATGGAAACTACTGGGACCAAAACCAACAGCAGGGTGGCTCTTACGACTACTACCAAAACTCGGAGGGTGGCGGCCAGCAAAACGAGGGCGATCCAAACTACAACTATGGACAGCAGGGGTACTACTACGACCAGCAAGCACCGTACGACCAGCAGTACCCGCAAGGCTACGATCAATCGGGATACAACCAGGCGGGCGGCTACAACCAGGATCAAGAGTACGCTGGTGCTACTGGCTATGGCTACGAGTATGATCAGTCCTATGCCTACGATCAATCGGGACAGTATGTTCAAGCAGCCGAGGGTGCCGCTGCGAATTCTGCTGCTGCCAGTGCTCCAGGATCAGAGTCTTACTCGCAGCAGCCACCGCCAGCGTCCTCGTCGGCTGCTCAAACGGCTCATACTTGATCGAAAGATGGATCATCGCGTCGGTATGTGGCGAAAATTTTTTTTTTCTCGTTTTTTTTCTTCACTTTTCTTCTATTTCTACTTCTTCTCTACTTGGTTCTTTTGCTTTCATCTTGCTGGCAGCCAGCATAAACAGCAGCGCAGCAGCACAGGCTAGGTACTATTAAAGAAAAAAAAAAGTTTTGGTTTCTTCTCTAACTCTTTTTTTGTGAAAATTTTGGGCGTGTTTTGTGTTAACAAGATAGATAAGCTGATAAGAAAAGAGAGGGTGTTCTTCCTATTGTTTGGTATTTACAAAAAGGAATTTGCGCTCTTTGATGCTTTGGGTATAAACACTGAGGAGAAACGAAGAATAAGTAGCTCTCTTTTCACTCCTTTTTTTTTTTTCCTTCCTTTTTCTCGGCTGTAAAAAATCCAATTTTCATCTTCTCGCCTTCATCGCTTCCTTCTCCCTGCTGGATTCTGTTTGCGTTCTTCCTTTTCCTTCCTGTTGGATTGATTGATCGATCATGGCTTCTCTTGCGACGATGGATCCGATCCAATCCACTCCCGTCACTTCTTGTGCAAGTGGATCCGGCCAGACTGCGCAGCGTCCACGATGAGATCCAGCAGCGGCCTCTCGGGGTGGAACTTCATGAACTGGAGGTTCCTCTGGTACATGTCCACCAGCTTGAGCGCGTCCACATTGTCCACGTAGATGTGCCACTGCGCGAATGGAAGCAAGCTCCTGGACCAGGCGATGGCGTCCAGGATGGCCATCAATCCGACCGACACCGCCGACACGCTGCCCTTGTCCAATCCTCGCATCATCGGCGAGTAGCCCTGGTGCTCGTACCTCATCTCGTCGAATTCGTCGTTCCACACCAGCGCCCGCGCGACGCAGTGGCCCTTGTAGTAGACCCAGTAGCCCGCGCGAAGATCCGAGCCACGGACGTGGAAGAAACCCTTGGTGAAGACGTTCCAGGGCGCCGTCGCCTCCCACTCGTGCTCGCCGCCATCGATCGTCGACACCCACAGCGGCAAGATCCGCCGCTTGCTGCCGCTGCCATCCTCGCCCTCGCAAGCGTAGGGATACGAATCATCGATCGCCCCAACCGCGGCGGCGCCGGAGGCCAGGGCGAGGTCGGATTCCTCCTCCTCGGCGGCGGCGGCGGCGGCGGAGTGACTGTGGTGGTGGTGGAGAAGATTGGGTGGCGGCGAGGCGGCGCTGGCAGTGGCGATCCCGGCGGCGGGGGTAGGAGCAGCACTAGGGATCTTGGAGCCGTCGGCGGCCCTGGCGTGCTTCATGGAGAGGGGGCATTCCAGCGGCGCGCAGCAATCCGACTTCCTCTTGCCGCGGGCGCCGATGGAGGAGGATCTGGTTGCGCCGCCCGCGGCCGCGAGCTTTGCAAAGAGATCCGAAGGTGCGTCGCCGATCCCCATATCCGCCCCAGCAAACACGCCCCCCACGAACCCTAAAATTTCCAGAGAAAGCCCTACGTGGCCACACAAACTTTTTTGTGTGTTTGACGCCGAATATTCGCGGGAAACAAAAACTGGCATATTCTCGCCCGGCAACTGGATATTCGCGGGCTATGGATGATCCAAATATTGCGAAACTCCGATCACGAAGGAAAGAAACATACATTGTAAGTTTCCGTAGCTCTTGGGCTAGCTAACACCAAGAGAGGCAAGAATTTGATACAACAGCCATAGATCTCTATAGTTTTCTAGCTAAGAAAAAGAAAAAACAATGATCTTAGATCATGAGAAATTCTCGAAGAGCTCCTCCTTCTCGTCGCTGTAGATCTCTTCAACCCGCCGCGCGAACTTGTGATCGCCGTAGTGAAGCGCGAACGCTGCCCACAGCAGCTCCTGGGACGGCCTCGGGTAGAAACTCTCGTTGTAGAGAATGCTCCTCGCCATCGTCGTCAAGGGCTTCACGTCAGAGAAATCGAGGACACATACCTTGGGTGCTCGCTTCACAGGATCCCACGCTAGCTGAATTTCGATGTCGTCCCCGTCCAGACCCAGGCCGCGGTGGAGGTGTGCCGTGAATCGCCCCAAGTCAGCCGCCACGGCGTAAAGATCCAGTCCCATTGCCTCGGCTTCTGTGTAGCCTACCGCAGGCTCGGGCGCCCAGCTTCCTTCCGACGATCCGAGATACAAGCGGCAGGTTCTTTCTCCCTCCCACCACTGATCGGAGAGAATCGACGACGGCAAAGGCTCGAGCTTCTCCGTGATCATCACTGGAACATCGTAGGCTTTCAAGCCACGGAGCTCCACGCCAAGGGAATCTGCCATCCTATCTGCACGGGGGAAGAATGCGATCGGCCGGGTGATCTCGATGGTGGAAGAAGCACTGTCCCACGATTGAAACACCAAGTTCTGCGCTTGGAACTCACGCTCCAGATCCCCCAGGGAATTCTCCGGGGATCCCACCTTGAATGCCTAGTTCCTCCAGCAATAAACGCTGCCGTGCGTTCCTGTGTCGAGGTAGTGAAGCTGGATGACGCGATCTTCCCCTCGGACAAACAAGGAATCCAAGTCCATGCTGCTATATTTACCCTAAATAGTCTACCCATATACTCGGCACCCCGCGGCTATGGAGGATCCCGTGTGTTTCCATCGGCAGGCGGCGGCGCTGGAGCTCCTGGTGCCGTCAAGCATCCCTTTTCTCCTTCATTCGGTGCTATCCCGCAGGCAAGCTCCAATTCAATCGCAGCGAGAGCCTGATGCTTTCTCTCTCGAGGATTTCCTCTTTGGTTACCATGGCATCATCCTCAACTGCTCTGTCATCCCTGGCAACTTGTCCAAGCACAGTATCTGGGACAACATCTGTTCGATCTACCGCGGAATTGAGCGCTGCAAAGGTAGAAAACCGTAAAAAAAAAGCTTCTCTTTTATGTAAAACTCCTCCTTTTTGTAGAGTTCAAGGACGCTCCGCCTCCGGTCAAGTCCGTGCGCCTCCTCGAGCTACTGCTGCGTTTGGTCAGGCCAAGATCCAACGTCTTTGACAACATGCTCGTCGTCACAGCTCCAGCCAATGTGAAACACTTTGTGGAGGTTTTGCGTTGCTACTACCACCCTTGGAAGCTGGTGGGAAGCATGGAGGAGCACCAGTGGATGCTGGATCGTCTGGATATAGTTGTGGCGAGCCCCCAAGAGGCTCGCAAGCTGAAGGCCAGCATGACACTTCTAGCGCTTGTTCTTGTTGACGACGACAACCCCGAGTTTTTCAGCCGAGTAGGTGTTTTGCTCCTTTCAGTGCTTTAGTCGATCTGACGGTGTGCTTGACAGGTTATGGACCTGATAGAGTCCCTCCTGTTTTTCAGTCTCCCGGTATCACTGAAACCTTCTCCTTGCAGGTTCGCCTTGTTTAGCCTCAACCTCTCTTAAACTTCTGTACTGTCAGGCCTGCCAAGTTGGATGTAATCAATTACCTTGCTCCCTGGGAAGCGATCAACATGAGCAAAGAGCTATTGCGGGCGATAGAGTTGTCACTCCCAGGTATGTATCTTCGCTTCTTTCTGTTTTCTTCATCTGGAGTTCGCTTTGATTGTTTCAGAAGCAGCGTGCTGCTCTGGTTTCCTTGACCCGTGCTTCTGCAATGCGGTCCAGAATTTCTCCGTGTTTCGACGCAACGTTGTGTGCCAGGACTGGTCTGGCATCCTGGCCTTCATGCCGGGCCTCATTCCCGATTCAACAAGCACCGCCTCAATAGTTCTCGCTCCAGGCCACCGGATTCCTCAGCTTTTGGAGCTGTTGCAGGCCTTCGTGGACGGCCTGGGACTGTTTGAAGTTAAGGTGACTTACCTCAGCGAGCCAGCGATCATGAATGAACTTTCACCCGGAATTGTACTCGGGACTCCGGACAGGATGCAGGAAGCACTGTGCGGGGCCAGCACGACTTGGAAGCCACACAGAGCCGTTCTCGTAGAAACCAATGTGCTGGTTTCCACACAGAAAGTACATGTGGAGGCAATATGCTCCATCCTTTGGAGCCGAGACGTGATCTTGGGGATCCACTCCCTAGACCCATCTCCTGGTGTAGAAGATATCGTCACAAGGTTCTGCAAGGGCGAGACGAGCAGGATTCCCAGGCCAGCCTTCACCGTAAGCTCAGTCAAGCACTTCTATGCAGCTGTCAAGAGCGCTAGTGACAAGCTCTCCAAGCTCGGGGAAGTGTGGAAGTTGTTTCGGATCAGGAGCGATACAGTGACAGTGTATTGCAACTCGGTATCGCAGGTGGAACTGGTTGCTTCTGGGATGGAACGTGCGGATTTTAAAGTGGCTGCAACGCACACTGGCATGCCGCAGCACTGCATTGAAGAGACGAATCGGGCTTTTCGCCAGCGTGGTTTGCTTCTAATCACCAACATAATCTACAGTGGAAGGCAGCATGTTATCAACTTTGACATGCCGGAGTCCGCGGATGGGTATTTGGCGAGAGCAGGCGTGCACAGGATCCTTTGGACGAGAAAGGTGGTGAGCATCTGCTCTGAGCTTGAAGTTTGTTTGATGCACGAGTTTGAAAGGAGCCTTGGTTTCGAGGTTGATCTTCTGGTTGCAAAAGACCATCGTCTGAATGGAAAGAAGCCACCGCGGAGAAAGAGGTAAGAAAAAGAGAAAGCTGGTCATCCCTTGTTCTAAGAATTAAAACTAAACATCTGCCTGCAAAGGGTAATCACGGAGCAGATTTTCCAGTCCTGAAAAAAGATTTGGCTGCCCTGTTGCTGGATTTCACTCTTCTATATAAATGACTAATCAAATATTTTGTACATTTTTGTATTCCATCTGTTTTTGAGAAAAGAATGTATAGTCTATTTTTTTTTCCTGGGATGTCAGATCTTTTCAAAGCTCATAGCAATAAATCCTATTAAAGGATGTTAACATTGGGGATACATAAAATGATGGCAATGTATTTTTTTATCCTTTTATATAAAATGTTTTAACTATTGTATATATACAATTTTTAGAGGATCAATTTATTGAATATTGTGCTAAATTTCATAAATTTGTGTCAAAACACTTTATATGGTCTGTTCCACTGAACAAAGAGCCATTTGGATAAACCATATATAGTAAGATTGAGAAAATATACTAACTTTAAATAATCTATTTTCTACTTATAAATTTGATGATAATAAAAGTTTGAATGTTATTGTTGCATAAGTGTTAAGTAAACTCCACTTGGATCAATGGAAAAATGCTTGCCAAATACTAATCTCAAAATATAACATTAGTAACTTGTCATAGCATTAGTAACTTGTGTGTTTGTGAAAGCAAATAAAACTCTATGTAAGGTCTTAAATAAGGTTTTAAATTTAAACCCATGGATTTAGTACTATTTTAACCCAAGGATGTTGTGAGACACAAAATCCCTAAGCCCCAAAGTGGAGCCGAAAAGGTGCCACGTGGTAGTGGCCAAAGCGAAAGTCAAACGAGTGTAACACGTTTGGATTAAAAGTTCTAACTTGAAAGGCCGAGAGCGAGAGTGGAATTCCCAACAAAGGGCTCGAAGAACAAACACAAAACGAGCAATAAGTGAGTCTTTAAAAAAGGGACACAAGAGGACCAACACATGACACATGGAAGAGTTTGGGATGGAGTTGAAATGGAGTCTAAGATGGACCTAAGATGGACCCGAGATGGAGTTCGAGATGGAATCTAAGATGGACCCAATATAGACCCGAGATGGAGTCTGAGATGGACCCGAGATGGATCCAAGACCGAGACCGAGCCCGAGTCCAAGTCCAAAATCGGAACCAAGACCAAGTCCGAGTCCAAATACTAATATAGGCTATTGAATGAAAGCCCAAAGCAATTGTCCCCCGGGGGGGGGGGGAAGGGGGGGGGGGTGCGGGCTGCAAAGGGTTCCAAAAGTATAGTAGGGAGAGTGTGGGGGTTGGAACCCAATAGAGCCAGTTTGGCCCAAGAATGCCATACCCAGCTGTTAGGTGATGGGATGACCATTGGGAAGTCCAAGGTTAGAGTGAATATAAACTGATAATCGGGATAGCTTGACGAAGTGTTCAAAAGCCAACTTTAGTTCCCTCGAAAGATCGAATAATCGATGCTCCTAATCCAAGTGTGGGTGGCACTACCTACTTGGATATTTGACGTGGCTCAACAGAACTTTGCTCTAAGCTCATGGCTAGAGCACCTAAAGGCGGAAGGTGGGGAAAGTACCCAGGAGGCTCGCGTAGAGCCACGGTGTTTTGAAATGTTATCCTAAAATCCCAAACTGTGGAAAGGAAGAGAAGTAGTCCTCTGGAGTGGCAACCAAGGATACAATCATACAGTAAGGAAGTCCTAGTGGACAGTGGGACTTGGTGGTTGGGCCTGTGAGCCTTCATCCAGTGGTAGTATTGGCGAATGCGGCCATAGACAAAAAGGAACTTAGTGGGGACCGGAAAAGAGATATTGGGGAAGGTTATTCCCCTTGTCTGCAGGCATCCTAAAGATGTTAAGAAGTAGATTTAGGATGATCACTCATGGATGGATGACTCAATCTTTGAGAGACGGGATTGTGATGTAGGTGGTGTTAGACCACCGATGTGACCAAAGTGAATGGGCATAGCCTTAGCATAACGGACTGATATATCGATGGTACCTTAGGGTGTCGGTTTTGGGATTTGACACATGGAGCACTTAGACCAAGTGTAATGGTTAAGTGGCATAGATGCCATTCTTGGAGCTAACAAGTCTTTAAGTCCAGAATAGAACTTACAGAGGTTGTGAGTGAGACTCCTCCAAGTGGTTAGAAGTGTGGTTAAATGTGGAAAATTTAGTCAACTTACAAATGCTTAACCCTAAATATCGATTGAAAAATGAAGTGCATTCTTATTTATAAGCTTTTTCTTTTTATATTTGAACTCTATAAATTATCTTTTAAGTCATTTTGCTTATACTTTATTGGTAAGATAAAATTATGACTATATAAAAATTTATATAGTAAAGCATTAACATGACATACACACACTAGAGAAAAGGGAAATAACCACTGCCATTTAAATATTGAAAATCTCTTTGAAAGTCTTGATACCAAACTATCTATTTATAGATGATATTTATAGATTCTCTTCAACCCGCCACACGAACTTGTGATCACCGTAGTGAAGCACTAACGCTGCCCACAGCAGCTCCTGGGACGGCCTCGGGTAGAAACTCTCGTTGTAGAGAATGCTCCTCGCCGCCTTGTCGATCGTCGTGAAGGGCTTCACGTCAGAGAAATCAAGGACACACCTTCGGATCTCGCCTCACAGGATCCCACGCTAGCTGAATTTCGATGTCGTCGCCGTCCAGACCCAGAGTGCGGTGGAGGTGTGCAGTGAATCACCCCAAGTCAGCGGCCACGGCGCAAAGATCCAGTCCCATTGCTTCGGCTTCTGTGAAGCCTACAGCAGGCTCGGGCACGCAGCTTCCTTTTGACGATCCCCTCCCACCAGTGATCTGAGAGAACCGACAATGGCAAACGTCTCCAGCTTCTCCATGACGATGACCGGAACATCGTAGGCTTTCAAGCGTTGAGCGATCTTGCAATCTCGTTTGCACTAGAAAAGAATGCGATGAGGCGAGCGACCTGGACGGTGGAAGAAACGCGGCTACATGACTCGAACACGACCTTGTGCGTATCATACTCGCGCTCCAAGTCCTCCTCCTCTGATTCTTCTTGAAAGCAAACTTCATATTCCCGTGCACTCCTTTGTCCAGGAGTTCGAGCTGGATCACGCGATCGGTAATTCGGATAAAAGGGGTTTTCTCAATAAATACTCCAAAACATAGTTTCTGGATAGCAGAAGACGCAAAAGAGAGCTCCTTGACTTTTCCATATCTGTAATTCATACCTCCGCTCCTATGAATTCAAGAGGAAAAGCAATTTTATTTGCTATCGCAACATGTTTTTCGCTGATATTTTCATGGTACCTGTGACAGTTAAGCTCGTTGTTGGCTTCCTCTTGATCCTCGACTGTGTTTCTCTTCATGTAATTGTTATGTACACGTTTTGGAACTTTTTGAAGTTTGGTAACTGCAGTTCCATCGATTGCTATCTGAGAGCCCAGCGTTCCTATAAGAAAGTAAACCTTTCACCTACAAATCAAGCATATATCCCGATGAACAATTCACACGTTAAGCGTCTGTCCTCCACGAGAACACGGGTCAACGGCCAATTCATACATTGTCTTCCGTTTCTGAATTTCATTAAGCAGTTGCTCGCAACTAAAATTATAAAATTGTTAAACATCCAACATCAAACAATAACTATTTACCTGCAAAGTCCTACATTCACGAAGACGATCGTTTTCTGACTGAAAATCACCACCTTTCTGTTAATCTCGCTGTAGCTCATGCGTCCAAAATGACTTGTCGCGGGGACCATGTCTGTCGGAGAGTAACCTGCTGATAAAAGTACGGATAAAAGTACTCCAGAACAAATACCATTCAAACCGAGGACAAACCACCTTCGAATGGTCATCTTGAGCTGTTGAACTTAAGAACTCAGATATTCTTACTGCAAAAGGAGAAAGTTAATCGTCTGAACATAGCCCCTAAAATAAGTTTTCAAGACTCAAATAAGAACATTAAGAGCAAACATACCACAACTTTTCACGAAGCTCTTTAATTTCTTTTTCCTGCCGCTTAAGAGAGCTGTATCTACAAAAACAGCAAATGAAAAAATACGCATGAGAAGGCTGGTCAGCTGCAAACTGCGCCTCCGGGATCAAGGAGGCAGCCAACTAAAACATACCTCATTGACGTGCGTGCATGTGAAGCTTTTTTCGATCTCGAGGCAAATTGAAGTGTTATGTTTGTTTCGTCTGTATGTATCTGAAACAGATGATACGAAACTTTGACGCACTGAGTCGTTGAAGTGTTACGTCACCCAGTGTAATGGTGACCTTACGAGCAAAGATCTCGCTGTGGCACCTCATTAAAGAATCTCTTGGCCTGGTTCATGAGCCCTAGATCAAAGATAACCTCTGGTGGCTTCTTTGGCATTGTTGGACCAAAACGACCGTGGTATGTTCTCAAAGATTCGGTAGCCTGAAGCTAGCATTCTGCATTGTGGATAAACAACTTGCATTCAATATCGAACTGCGGCATTCTTTCAAAAACATGTTTTTGGTCCAGCGCGTTCGTCTAAAGAGGATTAAAGAATGCGCATCAGTTTGCTGTCCAGGTATGCTATATAACCTTTATGAAAAAAAAATGAAGCTAGGAGGAGGAAAGTGTTACCTTTTCCTGGACCCTCGCTCAGCTTATTTCTAACAGTTCCAATAGTCATGAGACTCTTGCTAATGTGTTGTCCCTCCTTAAGTCGAACTCCTCCAGCTCCTGTTTTTGCAACATGCTCAGAACTGGCTAGATCGAAAAGCACAAGTTATAGTGAAAACGTATAGATCGTAACATTCTAGGCTTACCACACTCGAACAGAGTCCTGTTTCTGTTGTTGTCAATGACTTGTGTGCGTGATTCACGATACATACCATTCGAAATATAGAGTGAGATCGACTACTGTATCTGTTCATGTTCGTCTCGCCAAAATGACGATGTGCTGCAACAATGTCAGTACCCCTCTATGGCGTTCCTAGTACCTTCTCCAAGCTTTAAGAATGGTCAGGACTGTTAACAACTTCCTCTCTGAGTCCAGCAACAAACAACCCCTTCTGTACAATGAAGTGTAAGAATGTGAGAAATACTTGCAAATGTTACCTTGAAATTCTCGTGTTAAGAGGCCGTTCATCTCTTCGTTATAAATGTCCATGTAAGAAACACGAACTAGGAACTCCCTGTTAGAATTCTAAATGAACAGAAGTCAGCAACTCACAATTCCGAGATTCGATCTCCAGTAAAATATGCTGTCAAAAACGTCTCGGATGATACCAGGATAATTAGCAGAACCTTGCATCGTGTAAGTCTTCCCGCTACTGGTTTGCCCATACGCAAACACAGTACCTGGGAAAAGGGATTGACTCTTTTTCAGGACTCAACTAAGAGAAGCTCTAAGCGCGACACTTTGCTCTCCCGCAGGTCGGATTCCTGGCGATCCAGTGGCGGTGGCGGCTGCGGCGCAGCAAGATTTGTGACTGTGATGATCAGCAAACACGAACAGCAAGGCGAGAAGAATGGCGAGAGCGCTATAGCCATCAATGATTACATGCATATTTGGCGCCATTTCTCTCTCCGTATCGTTCGAATCCCTTACTATATAGTATATACTCCCAATAGGGTGACTCTCTCTCTACCCTTGCGGCTATGGAGGATCCCGTGTGTTTCCATCGGCAGGCAGCGGCAGCGCTGGAGCTCCTGGTGCCGTCAAGCATCCCTTGTCTTCGTCAATCGGTGCTATCCCGCAGGCAAGCTCCAATTCAATCGCAGCGAGAGCCTGATGCTTTCTCTCTCGAGGATTTCCTCTTTGGCTACCATGGCATCATCCTCAACTGCTCTGTCGTCCCTGGCGACTTGTCCAAGCACAATGTCTGGGACAACATCTGCTCGATCTACCAGGAGATCAGGCGCTGCAAAGGTAGAAAACCGTAAATAAAACTTCTTTGTGATCTAAAAATCCTTTTTTCTTGTAGAGTTCAAGGACGCTCTGATAAAAAAGGCAGCGACTGCTGGCAACGACTGCTCATATTGTATATATGAAGCTATATATACATGGGCTGTGGCAACTGCCTAATGCCACATCATCCTAACTGCCTAGCTAAGCATCTACCTGAGCATCTAATCTCAACACTCCCACTCAGGCGTGTCTACAAACTGAGACAAAGCCTGAACATAAGATACTCAGCATGCATACAACTGACACTGACTCCCACTCAAAGCAACTACATCTTGTTGCTCTAGGGCTTGCTGCCTCTGCCACTCTTGGCTGCTTTGCCATTGCTCCTTTGGCTGTTGCTGCTCCTCTCTTGGAGCTCTTTTGCCATCGCTCCTTTGGCTGTTGCTGCTCCTCTCTTGGAGCTCTTTTGCCACTGCTGGGCTTCTCAGCCAACTCTGCCGCTGCTATCTGCCACCGCTCACTTGGCTGCTGCTGCTCCTCTCTTCGAGCATCTTGGCCACTCCTGCCGCCATTCTGCTTCTCGGCCTGCTGAGTCACTGCTCTGCTGCTCCTGGGCTTCTTGGCTGCTCTGCTGCTCCTTTCTTGGAGCATATCAGCATCTTCTGCCGCTCCAGGGCTTCTGAGTCGCTACTATCTGCCACTCCTCGCTGCTGGTATGGCTCTGCCATTGCTTTGTTGCTGCTCTCTAGGCTACTCTGCTTCTGCCGTTGGCATCTGGAAGCTTCTTCTTCTTCTTCATCCTTCACAGGTCCTCAAGATCTGTGCTCCGATACCATGATAAAAAAGGCAGCGACTGCTGGCAACGACTGCTCATATTGTATATATGAAGCTATATATACATGGGCTGTGGCAACTGCCTAATGCCACATCATCCTAACTGCCTAGCTAAGCATCTACCTGAGCATCTAATCTCAACACGCTCCGCCTCCGGTCAAGTCCGTGCGCCTTCTCGAGCTACTGCTGCGTTTGGTCAGGCCGAGATCCAACGTCCTGGACAATGTGCTCGTCGTCACAGCTCCAGACAATGTGAGACACTTTGTGGAGGTTTTGCGTTGCTACTACCACCCTTGGAGGAAGCATGGAGGAGCACCAGTGGATGTTGGATCGTCTGGATATAGTTGTGGCGAGCCCTCGAGAGGCTCGCAAGCTGAAGGCCAGCATCACACTTCTCGCGCTTGTTCTCGTTGACGACGACAAGCCCGAGTTTTTCAGCCAAGTAAGTGTTTTGTTCCTTTCCTTCTTTCAGTGCGTTACTTGATCCGTGTGCTTGACAGGTTATGGACCTGGTGGAGTCCCTCCTGTCTTTCAGCCTCCCGACATCACTGAAACCTTCCCCTTGCAGGTTTGCCTTCTTTGTTTAGCCTCACCCAAACTTTTGTATTTTCAGGCCTGCCAAGGTGGATGTAATCAATTACCTTGCTCCCTGGAAAGCGGTCAACATGAGCAAAGAGCTACGCCGGGCTATAGAGTTGTCAATCCCAGGTATGTATCTTCGCTTCTTTCTCTTTCTTTCTTTTTTCTTCTAGTGATTGGTGGAGTTTGCTTCGATTGTTTCAGAAGCAGCATGTTGCTCTGGTTTGCTCGACCCGTGCTTCCGTAATGCGGTCCAGATGTTCCCCGTGTTTCGACGCAACGTTGTGTGCCAGGACTGGTCTGGCATTGTGGCCTTCATGCCGGGCCTCATTCCCGATTCCACAAGCACCGCCTCAATCGTTCTCGCTCCAGGCCACAGGATTCCTCAGCTTGCGGAGCTGTTGCAGGCTTTCGTGGACGGCTTGGGACTGTTTGAAGTTCAAGTGGCATGCCTCCCAGCGATCACGAATGAACTTTCACCCAGAATTGTAATCGGGACTCCGGATAGGATGCACGAAGCACTGTGCGGGGGCAGCACGACTTGGAAGCCACACAGAGCGGTCCTGGTGGAGACGGATGTGATTCTTTCGACACACAAAGTACATGTGGAGGCAATATGCTCCAACCTTTGGAGCCACGACGTGATCTTGGGGATCCACTCGCTAGACCCATCTCCCGACGTAGAAGACATTGTAACAAGGTTTTGCAAGGGCGAGACTACAAGGATTCCCAGGCCAGGCATCACCTTAAGCTCAGTCAAGCACTTCTATGCAGCTGTCAAGAGCGCTAGTGACAAGCTCGCCAAGCTCGGGGAAGTGTGGAAGTTGTTTCGGACCAGGAGCGACACAGTGACAGTCTACTGCAACTCGGTATCGCAGGTGGAACTGGTTGCTTCTGGGATGGAAAGTGCGGGTTTTGAAGTGGCTGCAACGCACACTGGCATGCCAAAGCACTGCATTGAAGAGACGAATTGGGCTTTTTGTCAGCGTGGTTTGCTTCTAATCACCAACATAATCTACAGCGGCGGGAGGCAGCATGTGATCAACTTTGACATGCCCGAGTCTGCGGATGAGTACTTAGCGAGAGCAGGCGTACACAGGAGACTTTGGACGAGAAAGGTGGTGAGCATCTGCCCTGAGCTTGAAGTTTGTTTGCTGCACGAGTTCGAGAGGAGCCTTGGTTTCGAGGCTGATCTCCTGGTTGCAAGAGACCATCGTCTGAATGGAAAGAAGCCGCCACGGCTAGAGATAGGCAAGAAAAAGAATAATGTGTAAGTTCATAATGATTTTCTAGGAATCTATAATCTTCTCCAGCTTTGAGATTCTCAGGATCTCAAAATCCTCTACATGTGCTGTAGCTCCACCACCTTACAGTCCTAATCCACATCACCACTCTGACTGCCTCTTTGATTACGAGTTTGATTCTTCACAAGTTTGTGCAGTACAGGCTTTTTGGATGAGAAAGGTGGTGAGCCTGCTCTAAGCTTCAAGTTTGTTTGCTGCACGAGTTTGAGAGGAGCCTTGGTTTCGAGGCTGATCTCCTGGTTGCAAGAGACCATCATCTGAGTGGAAAGAAGCCACCTCAATGAAAGAGGCAAGAAAAAAAGAAAGTTGGTCACTAGTAAAAGAAATAAAACTAAACATCTGCTGGCAAAGGGTAATCACTGAACAGATTTTCTATGTCCCAGGATCTGGTTGCCCTTTGCAGGAGAAAAAGGGGTGTCAACAATAATTATACATCTTTTTTTGTAAATTATATTATTAGTATACAATACTTAGCCCGAGAGTCTATTTTTAGCATCTAGCTCTTACAAAAGGCTAGAGAGGCACCAGGCCAGTGTTGACAGCCAGCTCTTTGATGCACTACCTTAATGCTTAGATCAGGAGTAAACGGCCACACGGAAGAGTTGTGCTGCGTGGCGTGCTCTCTAGCGAGCCGATTGGCCACGCCTTGCAATTGGAGACTTGGCTTAATATTCAGCAAACCAAAAATTGTGCATGCCTGATGTTTACATCCCAGCCCATCCACCAAAAAACTCTAACTTCATTACTTATTTCTTCAAATTCAATTGCGAGTTTTATAAACTTGAGTATTATGAGTTTGGCATAGTTGCAACTCTGGCTAATAGAAATGGTGATCTCTTTGCAAAGCTTGTGGTGATATAGACATTGTCAACTGAGAAATTATATAAGTTATCACCATCACCCACGAACTCTAAACTTTCCAGAGAAATTGATGGCGAATATTCGCGCATATTAACTGGATATCCAAATATTGCAAAACTCAGGAAAGGAACATACATTGTACGTCGCCGTAGCGCTTGGGCTAGGTCAAGAGAGGCAAGAATTTGATACAACATAGATCTCTAAAAAAAAAAAACAATGATCTTAGGTTATGAGAAATTCTCGAAGAGCTCCTCTGTAGATCTCTTCAACCCACCGCGCGAACTTGTGATCGCTGTAGTGAAGCGCGAATGTTGCCCACAGCAGCTCCTGGGACGGCCTCGGGTAGAAACTCTCCTTGTAGAGAATGCCTTGTCGATCGTTGTGAAGGGCTTCAGAGAAATCGAGGACACATACCCTGGGTGCTCGCCTCACAGGATCCCACGCCAGCTCAATTTCGATGTCCTCGCCGTCTAGACCCAGAGTGCAGTAGTCAGCGGCCACGGCATAAAGATCCAGTCCCATTGCTCGGCTTCTCTGTCGCCTACAGCAGGCTCGGACGCCCAGCTTCCTTCTGACGATCCAAGATACAAGTGGCAGGTTCTCTCTCCCTCCCACATTGAGCTGGTTGTATTTTCTCTCGAGGAAGCTGTTTCATGCTCCTGGAAATCAAGCATAAATGAGTACACCGCAGCTTAAGTAGCCATTTCAATTATGATAGTAAATAAGGGAGTTCCTCAGTCGCATCCGCTGCTCTGAAAAAAAGCAGTGACATTTTATTGAGAAGAGGAAGACGAGCTTTTACCTTTGAATCAAAACGGGATTTAGACCTGGAGTTCCTTCCATCTTTAATTTAGACCTGCTGCATCTGGAGCATTAAGCTTTGCAGCACGCAAGACTTACAAGCTCATTACACGGAACTGCCTGGTCTTCTGTGTTTGAAGTCGCATCGAGTTTTGGTTTAGGCGATCTTCATCAGCAACATTTGGTCTGTCCTTGCTCGTTGTTTATTATTTCGTCACGAGAATGCGACAGAAATGACGGGCTCCAATAAAGGCATTCCTAAAAACAAGCAATAAGGACACATAAAACAATGATCTTATCCAGAACCTTAGCTGATGCGTCCAAAATGCCACGTAAACCTGCTAAAAAGATTATTTCAGAACAAATAACATAAAAACCTCTCTTAAGACTAAAGAGCTCAGATTTTCAGTCTTCTGTTATTCCTCTCTTTTCACGATCCAGCCGCGCTTTTCTCTCCTCTTCTACCTCAAGTGCAAGTTTCTCCTTCTCGAAATCGTACTGGAAATGAAAAAAGAAGAATTCAGATATCTGTGGGCTACAACCACTCGATTAGATTTAAAAGTTGTTTTTCGAAATCTAGCACCTGTATTCAGGACTCAACTAAGAGCATTATATACCAACAACTTTTTAGCACGGCTCTTCAATTTTTCTGCCTGCCCCTACAAAAACAGGAAAAGGAGGTTGATGCCAAAAAATCCTCGTTGACGTGCGGGCATTTTGCAACTTTCTTCGCTCTTTGTTTCGTGCATCTGAAACATGATGAGGCGGCGGAGTAAGATTTGTGACTGTAATGATCCCCCATATGCGAAGTGCCGTACCTGTTTGCATTTGATCGCCATGGCGATCATCCAGCCACGGCGTTGGAGCGGGGATAATCCAGAGCCGCCGAGAGAGTCCATGCGACGCCATAGCCATCGAAAATATTCCCCCTTGTGGATTTACCCTTTAATATATACTCCCCATAGAGCATGGAGGATCCCGTGTGTTTCCTCGAGCTCCTGGTGCCGTCAAGTCCTTTTCTCCTTCATTCGGTGCTATCCCGCAGGCAAGCTCCAATTCAATTGCAACGAGAGCCTGATGCTTTCTCTCTCTCGGATTTCCTCTTTGGTTACCATGGCATCATCCTCAACTGCTCTGTCATCCCTGGCAACTTGTCCAAGCACAGTATCTGGGACAACATCTGTTCGATCTACCGCGGAATTGAGCGCTGCAAAGGTAGAAAACCGTAAAAAAAAGCTTCTCTTTTATCTAAAACTCCTTTTTGTAGAGTTCAAGGACGCTCCGCCTCCGGTCAAGTCCGTGCGCCTCCTCGAGCTACTGCTGCGTTTGGTCAGGCCGAGATCCAACGTCTTTGACAACATGCTCGTCGTCACAGCTCCAGCCAATGTGAAACACTTTGCGTTGCTACTACCACCCTTGGAAGCTGGCGGGAAGCATGGAGGAGCACGAGTGGATGCTGGATTGTCTGGATATAGTTGTGGCGAGCCCCCAAGAGGCTCGCAAGCTGAAGGCCAGCATGACACTTCTAGCGCTTGTTCTTGTTGACGACGACAACCCCGAGTTTTTCAGCCGAGTAGGTGTTTTGCTCCTTTCAGTGCTTTAGTCGATCTGACGGTGTGCTTGACAGGTTATGGACCTGGTAGAGTCCCTCCTGTTTTTCAGTCTCCCGGTATCACTGAAACCTTCCCCTTGCAGGTTTGCCTTCCTTGTTTAGCCTCACCCAAACTTTTGTATTTTCAGGCCTGCCAAGGTGGATGTAATCAATTACCTTGCTCCCTGGGAAGCGATCAACATGAGCAAAGAGCTATTGCGGGCTATAGAGTTGTCACTCCCAGGTATGTATCTTCGCTTCTTTCTGTTTTCTTCATCTGGAGTTCGCTTTGATTGTTTCAGAAGCAGCGTGTTGCTCTGGTTTCCTTGACCCGTGCTTCTGCAATGCGGTCCAGAATTTCTCCGTGTTTCGACGCAACGTTGTGTGCCAGGACTGGTCTGGCATCCTGGCCTTCATGCCGGGCCTCATTCCCGATTCAACAAGCACCGCCTCAATAGTTCTCGCTCCAGGCCACCGGATTCCTCAGCTTTTGGAGCTGTTGCAGGCCTTCGTGGACGTCCTGGGACTGTTTGAAGTTAAGGTGACTTACCTCAGCGAGCCAGCGATCATGAATGAACTTTCACCCGGAATTGTAATCGGGACTCCGGACAGGATGCAGGAAGCACTGTGCGGGGCCAGCACGACTTGGAAGCCACACAGAGCGGTCCTGGTGGAGACGGATGTGATTCTTTCGACACACAAAGTACATGTGGAGGCAATATGCTCCATCCTTTGGAGCCGAGACGTGATCTTGGGGATCCACTCCCTAAACCCATCTCCCGACGTAGAAGACATTGTAACAAGGTTTTGCAAGGGCGAGACTGCAAGGATTCCCAGGCCAGGCATCACCTTAAGCTCAGTCAAGCACTTCTATGCAGCTGTCAAGAGCGCCAGTGACAAGCTCGCCAAGCTCGGGGAAGTGTGGAAGTTGTTTCGGATCAGGAGCGATACAGTGACAGTGTACTGCAACTCGGTATCGCAGGTGGAACTGGTTGCTTCTGGGATGGAAAGTGCGGGTTTTGAAGTGGCTGCAACACACACTGGCATGCCACAGCACTGCATTGAAGAGACGAATCGGGCTTTTTGCCAGCGTGGTTTGCTTCTAATCACCAACATAATCTACAGTGGAAGGCAGCATGTTATCAACTTTGACATGCCCGAGTCCGCGGATAGGTATTTGGCGAGAGCAGGCGTGCACAGGATTCTTTGGACGAGAAAGGTGGTGAGCATCTGCTCTGAGCTTGAAGTTTGTTTGCTGCACGAGTTTGAAAGGAGCCTTGGTTTTGAGGCTGATCTCCTGGTTGCAAGAGACCATCGTCTGAATGGAAAGAAGCCACCGCAGAGAAAGAGGTAAGAAAAAGAGAAAGCTGGTCATCCCTTGTTGTAAGAATTAAAACTAAACATCTGCCTGCAAAGGGTAATCACGGAGCAGATTTTCTAGTCCTGAAAAAAGATTTGGTTGCCCTGTTGCTGGATTTCACTCTTCTATATAAATGAGTAATCAAATATTTTGTACATTTTGTATTCCATCTGTTTTTTAGAAAAGGATGTATAGTCCCATTTCTTTTCCTGGGATGTCAGATCTTTCTAAAGCTCACCTATTAAAGGATGTTGACATTCGGATGTAATGTAATTTTTGATCCTTTTATATGAAATATTTTAACTATTGTATATATACAATTTTTAGAGGATCAATTTGTTAAATATTGTGCCAAATTTCATAAACTTGTGCCAGAACACTTCATATAGTCACTTACACTGAAGAAAGAGCCCTTTGGATAAAGCATATATAGTAAGATTGAGAAAATATACAAATTCTAATTAATTTACTTTCTACTTTACAATTGGATGATGGTAAGAGTTTTAATGTTATTTTTGCATAAGTGTTAAGTAAACTTCACTTGGATCAATGGAAAAATGCTTGCCAAATATTAATCTCAAAATGTAGCATTAGTAGCTTATGCATTTGTGAAGGCAAATTAAACTTTATTCATAGTTTAAAATTATAACTATATAAAAATTTATATAGTAAAGCATTAATAAAAATCTACACTTTCATAACTGTAATGCATGTAATCATGGGATAAAATTTTGATATATTATTATCGTGAATCATTAGAACTTTAGGGGATAAATGGGGATAAAATAGCCACTAAAGGCTCTTTCATTAAGTAATTGCGTCCTTTTTAGTTGGCTAAGGGGAGAGAGATAGGATGCACTATAATGACATATATATACCAGAGAAAATGCAAATAATTATTGCAATTTAAATGTTAAAAGTTTATATATTCATTATTATCTCTTTGAAAGTCTTTACAAACCATTCTATCAAACCATCCATTTATAGATGATAAGTATTTAGAAGGTATAATTGAGATGTCAAACATAAAATACGTCAAACATCAAATACCTTAGCCATAATGCAAGATTAAGGTTATATATACATAATTTCAAACTATTGTGTGAAAGGTTATATTTTAGACTATAGAATTTAAATGGGTAATAATTTAGAATTGTTTGAATTGCATAGTTATAGAATACAACCCTTTAGACCACACTGTGGACTAAACTCATGCATGCATAACCATATTAGACCATTTAGAACCATTGTTTAAGAGAATTTACTATAGACAAGAATGTTAGAATACCACATAAATGAGAAAGAAGTATTTAATAACAATTGTAAATGCATTAATAAGAGCACCAACTCACCCAACTAGTTGGATAGTAAGAAGTAATTATGATATACTCATTATTAATAATTAATCATGAAAAATAATTTATCAAATCAAATACCACTAACTCAAATGGATGGGAAATTGCAATTAATTTTAACTGTCCTTTTGTAACACAAGAGGGAGTATTATAAACTTAGCACCACAAACCTTTTTCAAGAATTTATAATTGTGCTAAAAGTTTTATGATGGTGCTCCATCTTATATTTTGGCCTACAAAGATATACATATCAAATGATATTTCATCTCATTTCTAGTATATAAATGTTAAAATGATAAGTTATTAGTAAGTGATGTAAGATTCTTATAGGACCTTCAATACCATAACTCAACCCTTTGAGCCTTCTAAACATCATCCAGGGAATGCAAAGCTAACTTTACACTTTGTAAACACTAAACATCATGCACAACAATTACCAATAGTATAGAATCTTCATCTAAAATTTCAATGATATTGAAATAATAGGCTCCTTAGAAATATAAGAAGAAAGAGGAGGAGGAAAAGGAGCTTGAGATAGAAAATCAATATCAACTATTGAACCCCTAGAGCAATAAATAATCTCAAAGTTGTAGATTTGAAGCTTCAAGCAATACAATCAACCATGTTCTTATGCTTTAATAATAAAGTGATTACAGTATGATCACTCTTTAGTAATATCCAAAAACAATACAAAGACACATAGAGCTTCTTAAAGTCCTAAACCACTACTAAACACTTATTTATTTGTGAATAATTCATCTTAACTAGCTATAAAGTATAATTGGTGTATATAATAGGATAACATTGACGAAGGACCCTTGTACTCTCATGCCCTAGAGATTGATATCAAAACCATCTATACGTAAAATGAAGGGCTGAATATAGTTAAGGTATGTTAAAATTAATGGAGCTATCAACACTACCTTAAGATTTGAAAATGCCTAATTGCAATCTTCATGATGTAATGTAATAAAAAAGATTGATTAACAAAACATCTAACATATTGTACCTTGTTAAAGAAGTGTTGCATATTGTTCACATGCTTTGGTATAAAAAAGTTCAAAACTAAAGGGAGTGAATAAGCATTTATGAATCTCAAAGAGTTGTTGAAGACTCCTACAGTTTTGATATATTTTAACTATAATCTATTTTACCACAAGTTTATCAAAATCAATTTACAAACCCTTGTAAGAAATGCAGTAACCCAAAGTCCTTAGATCCAAACGTGCATTTAGATTGGGAACATGGATGGGGAAAGGTTTTGGTTTAATGCAAGTGAGTTTCAAACAAATTTCTTATAGCTAATTTAATATTTTGCAAACATCATGAATGTGCTCCTCTTTGTCCCCTTTGAACAAATCAAAATATCATTAATAAAATTAGTAATCATCTTTAATATATCAAAAAGAACATCTTCCATCATCCACTAGAAAACCTCTAACTAAATGGCATCACTAAAAACCTATAAAAACCAAATGGTGAATGGAAAATAATATTAGGAATATTTTCCTTAGCCATTAGCATTCAGAAGCAAGATATAACTTAGTGAACTAATGGTTTCACCTAAGATTATCCAAGAAATTGGTAATGTGAGTAAGAGGGTATATATTTAGGATACATTATTTAACAAATAATAATTGATGCATAACTAATATTTCTATTAGGCTTTGACATAAGATGAAGGACTTTAACACTTTCAAATAACACCTTTCTTTAACATCTTTTAGACATGAGCTCTTAAGATCTTAGTTTCCTTCAGTGACAAGTGTTGAATATGAACTTTAATTAGATATGCATCCTTAGTTAAAATTGAATTACATGTATGCTATAATAGGAAGGTTTGCTAGAATATAAAACAAGATAAAATTTATTTACAGAAAAAGTAATTTTATCATTTTCTTAAAATCTGTACTATATGCTTTTTGGTTTTTAAATATCATATTTAAAATAATTTTAAAATGATTGAATTTGAAATAAAATTCTTTTGCAAGGTCATATAACTATTTGAAAGGGAAAAACAACCATTGATACAAGTTTATTGAATATCAAAGAGAGATTTAATTCTCCCATTAACACCAATACAAACAGTGCTTGACATTCTGTTTGACATTTGAGAGAGTTGGCTAATCACCCATTGTTGTTTGACAACTCGACAAACTCAAGCTGAGAGTAGGAGATTCTATCCTCTATTCAATGCATTCTCTTTAGAATACTTTTTTAAGGGGTTTATCATAGCATAGTGTTTAAAGTTTATGGATCTTCATTCACACTTTCATTTGAAAAGAGGAAATATACATAAAATGTATGTAGGATTTAGTGTTAGTAATTTGAACTCATGTAATCTTTTTTCCCTAGGTAATAAATTAAAAGCTAAGAATTACCATTACACACAACTAAAATACATAAAAAAAAAAGAGAGAGGACAATAAAGATAGTGATTATAAGTTTGAGATAAACACAATGATATAAGGTGCAACAAATTAGAATGCCCTTCTACTTATTTTAGAAAGTTACAATTCTGTGACTTTCAAGAAATGTCTTATATATTTTTTAGCTTCCGGTGGAAACAATAATGATAATTAATATCACAATATATATACTCTTGCGATATGTTGCAACATCACACACCCAAAAGACTACTATGAAATATTTTTGAGATGGTAAAGTTAGAAATGGAGACACATGAGTATATGAGAAGAACACTCACAAGTATATGAAATAAAAGTATTATTTTTAATTATATAAAGTATAGAGAATAAACATTGATAGTTTTAGCAAATCTTGTTAGCTCCAAAAATCTTCTATAATTCAGTAATAGTAAAGTATATAAATGTCCATTTTAAGATCTTAGTGTAAGGAGTTGATAAAAATGTAGTATATATGCTTGCAAGGAGTATATGCCTTTCCATTTAATAAAGTTTGGACATTTGCAAAGAAAATCTTAAATGACAATTGTGTACTCTTCACCTTCTATTTTGACTATATACTCTTTTGCAAGTATAGTGATGTATTTTGTGGAGAGAATCTCATACTCAAGCATTTGAGCTAAAACCATACATTTATATGTTATGGTAAAAATAGTGTATTTTACTTTACTTTTGCATGGAAATGGTACCAATAAATTTAATTGCCTTACCTTTTTTTATTGGTCTCATGTGCATCTCTATGGGAATAGTGTTAGTTCTATTGCTCATGTTTTCAACTCTCCTCTCAAGATTGAAACAAAATTTCTTAAGGTTTTCAATCTCATTCAAGGTGAGTGCGACCCTATTAGCAATTAGCCATTTTTAGGTATTGCATCAGATTTTATCACTATAATGTCTTTAAGATACTTTATGTGGTTAGCATCAGTGTTGGAGCAATACAGCAAACACCATCTAGAAATCTTGCTTGTTTTTGTTCCCTAATAAAAATATTGGGGCTAAAACAGAAGT